CTACTAGACTTGGAGGTCCATTGCAAAACTACAAAACTGAGCTGAGCACCGTGGCATGTGTGTAGTCCCAGCTTCTCAGGAGGCTGATGCAGGGGGGATCACTTGAGCCCAGGGGTTCAGGGCCAGCCTGAAAAACATAAGCAAGATTATGCCTCTTAAGAAAAAAATACATTACTGGAGTCTCTACTTCCATTTCCTGCAAGGGGAGCAGGAAATGTTTCTCCCTTTTATCCCCATTTCTACCCACTTTTATCCTGTTTTACTAAATCCTTTCCTAATAAACTTTACTATTACTTTTACTACAAAAAATACCATGCTAATATTACTTGTCACAATAAAGTGATGAAGTGAGATTTTTAATCTTTATATAAAATTGAGGTACAGTTTATTTAAATAAAATGCACAAATCTGAGGTATACAGTTCAGTGTGTTTTGATAAATGTAACTACCATCTCGATTAACATATGGAACATTTCCATCACTCCAGAATGTCTTTTGTACTCTTTTCCATCAATCCCCAGTTCCTATACCCCAGCAACCTTTTTTTTTTTTTTTTTGCCAAATACTTTTGTCTGTTTTGGATTGCATATAAATGAAATTGCATTGCACATCCTCTTTTGTGTCTGGTTTCTTTCACTAACATCATGAATTAGATTTATCCAGGTCATTTATACATGGTAGTGATAGACTTTGTTCCTTTTTGCTTTCAAGAAGTATATATTGTATGAATAGATACAATTTGTTTTTTGTTTTTTGGTGGTACTGGGGTTTGAATTCAGGGCCTCACACTTGCTAGGCAAGAACTCTACCACTTGAGCCACTCTGCCAGCCTACAATTTGTTTATACATTCACCTAATAATGAAAGTTTGGTGTCTTTTCACTTTTTGGTTATTACTCGTATAAGTCATTTTGTGGATATATATTTTAATTTCCTTGGGAAAATCCTAAGAAGTTAAAATATCTGGGTCATTTAGTACACACACACACACACACACACACACACACACACACATTACTACCTTATAATATTTAAGTGTATATTTTAAGAATTTTTACTCAAATTTCCAATTAATGAGAGTGTTGTGGTTTGGATATGGAGTGTCCCCTGCAAAAGGATCATGAATTGAAGGCTTGGTCTCCTGCTGGTGGTGTTATTTTGGGAAGTTCTGGAAACTTCAGGAGATGAAGTATAGTTGCAGGAGAAAGTAGGTCATGGGGGAGGGTGTCCTTGGGAGTTGTATCTTGTCCCAGGCTCCTGTCTGTCTCTCTGCTGCCTGTCCACTGTGAAGTGAGCTGCTTTGTTCCACCACGGGCTCCTGCCATGATATTCTGCCTCGCCACAGGCCCAGAAACAGTGGAGCCAAGGACTGTGGACTGAAACTTCTGAAAATATGAGCTGAAATAAGTCCTTCCTTCCTTAAATTGTTTATGTCAAATATTTTGTTACAGCAACCAAAAGTCTGACTAATGCAGAGTTTTAGTTGTTCTGTATCCTTAGTCATATTTGGTGTTGTCAGTCTTTTTCATCATCCTAGTGAAAATAAACTAGTACCTTCTGGTGGCTTTGTCAGTGGCTTTTTACTGGGCAAATCCAATGGTAACTCCTCAATCCTCATCTTACTTAATCTCTCTAAGGTCTCTGACTATATTGACCATTGTTAAAACAGTCTTGTGACTTGGATAAAAAGTGTCACCCAAAAGGCTCATGTGTTGATGGCTTGATCCCCAGTTGGTGACAATATCGAGATGTGATTGGATCATGAGGGCACTAACTTTATTGGCAGTTCATAGCTGAGTGGGACATTTGGAGTGGGGCCTACCTGGAGAAGTAGGGGACTGGGTGAGTGCCTTTGAAGACTATATCTTGTTCCTGACCCCTTCCTGTCTGTCTGTCTCTGCTTCCTGACTATCACAAGGTGAGCAGCTTTGTTCTGCCGTGGCCTCCTGCCATCATGATATTCTGTCTCATACAGGCATAGACATAACAACAGAGACAGCTGATCACAGACTGAAACCTCTGAAATTGTGAGCCCATAAAAGTCTTTCCTTCCTTAAGTCATTTTCTCAGGTGTTTTGTCACAGTGATGAAAAGTCTAACTAACACAAGTGTCTTTCCTTGCATCCATGGTACTATACTCTCTAAGTTGTTATTGCTATAGTTGATTCTTCTCATCTTCCTTTCTTTCTTCTTCCACTGAAGTATTTGTATTCCCAAGCCTCCATAGTCATCTCTGTCCATATACACTTTGTGAAATCTCATTCATGGCCGGGGCATGGACAAACTTAACTGTACAATGATGATTCCAACACCACCTCCAAGCTAAACCTCATACCTCGCTAGCTCCTGGACATCTCCACATATCCATTCCTAAACTAAAGACAGCATTTTTTTAATGCTAAGAAGAGCACTGCTCTCTGTCAAGGCCTGAGTTGAACACTTGAAGACAACTTGACTTCATCTACTCTTTTGCTCCACATGACACATCTGATGAAAGCAATAGACATTCTCTTTGAAAGCAAGATAATACCTATGGATTCGCTCTCTCTTTCAAAAAAAGAAAAAGATACATTTATTTATAGGTTCTGAAGCTTTTGTGGAATTCAGAGTCCTTACATCTCAGGATAAGAGCAGCTGTTCTATGTCTTCTTGATGCCGCCTTGGGTCTGCTTAACATTCTGAGATCCATCTTCAATCTGTAGAGTTACAACCTTTGGTTCAGAATGTTTTTTTTCCTCAGAATATATTTAGCCCAGGAGAGTTAGTAATGGGCAGGCACTGTGTTTATCACTGAATATGAAACACATTATCTGTTCTCATACTGGTTAAAGTGCATCAGGGCAAATAACTAATATGACTACAAGTACCACCTGTGTGTTACAAAGTTTATGGTGTTTATCAGCGTGTTTAACAAGTGGGCCTAACCCAGAGAGTGAAGACCTCTAGAGAAATGATGTTTAAATTGACAGATAAGGAATGAATAGGATCTCTTTGTACAATTAATGTATGCTAATAAAAATGCAAATAAAATGAATCAGAATTATCTAAGTGAATCGAGTCTGATATGTGTAATAAATAAAAGGAAAGAAAGGGTTGGGAGTATAGCTCTAGTGTTAGAGCACTTACCTAGCAAGTGGGAGGCCCTGGGTTTAATTCCCAATATGAAAAAAAAAAAAAAGGAAGAAAAATTTATTTATTTTACAGTACTGGGGCTTGAACTCAGGGCCTTCATCTTGAGCCACTCCACCAGCCCTATTTTTGTGAAAGGTTTTTTAAGATAGGGTCTTCCGAACTATTTGCCTAGTCTGGCTTCAAACCATGATCCTCCTGATCTTTGCCTCCTGAGTAGCTAGGATTATGGGTGTGAACCACCAATGCCCGGCTATTTTTAAAATGATATTTGGACTTCTCTTTCCAGCAATCTGATGAACTAGATATCCTAAACAATCCTGGTTATTAACCTAATTTTTTTTTTTTTTATAATCACTTGTTCTGGTTTGTGTCAAGAGATTTTGCGGACATGTCTTTGGGTTTTTGGGTTTTTTTTGGTGGTGGTGGTACCGGGGTTTGAACTCAGGGCCTCACGCTTGGTAGGCAGGCACTCTATCACTTGAGCCACATCTCCAGTACCTAATCTAAATTTTTAATCAAATATAAAGCCAATGTTAAAAATGTATCAGTAGGCTAGCAAAAATATAAAAAGTCCCAGAATAAAAGAAAAGGACAAATATTTAATTGAAAAAGGGAAATCTGAAGGTAAGAAAATATAAAACTTGACTTTCCCTTGATATGTTATACCCAAACACTGAAACTGTACTCGTTTATTTTATACCACCTCGAGGAATACAGATGACAGGAGATAAGTCTAAGGGTTACTCAAGGCATGAAATCTAATAGGAAATCCCTTGCACAGACCTGAAAATCCAAACAGTTTCACTGAGATAGTACTTCTAATGTATCATTTAGCAAAGTCCCACAAATTTAAGGATGTACTTTGTTGGCGAGGTTATGAGAAATGGTCACCGTCATACATTGCTAGTGATGATAAAAACTTCTTCGGATTCCAATTCTAGAACTCTATCCCAAAGACATTTGTAGAACTACAAAATAACTTATGCATAATATTATTCATCACAGCATTATTTGGGATAATTAAAAACTGGAAATAACCGATACGTCTATCAATCAGGAGTAGATTGAATAAATCGGCACATCCACTCAATGGAGTACTGTGAAGCTGTCAATAGGACTGGGGAAGCTCGCTACTCACTGATGTAGAATGAGACATTGTTAACTAGGAAGCAGGGCATGGTGGCCCTTGCGCCTGTGATCCAGCTACGTATGTTGGGAGGATTACAGAGGATGGCCAGGTAAAAAGCAAAACCCTATCCGAAAAATAACTAAAGCAAAAAAGGCTGGGGGGCATGGCTCAAGCACTAGAGCAGCTGCCTAGCAAGCTCCAGGCCCTGAGTTCAAATGCCAGTACCAACGAAAGAAAAAAGGAAAAGAAAGAAGTGGAGCAGCCACAGTGGTGCACGTCTATAAACCCAGCCCTAGGGAGGCTCAGGCAAGAGGATCACGAGTTGGAGGCCAGCCCGGGACACACACACACACACACACACAAAGCGGGATGTATGCACAAGTCAGAAATCACACCGAGGAAACCACAATCAACCCAGAATGTGGGACATCTATAGGAAAACTAAACCCACTTTGCAAATCGGTGCCATCTGAGAGCAGGGCGGGAAACCTTTCCAGATCAACAAAGGCATCTAGCCATTCTGGGAGAAAGTCGCGAAGCCTGATTGCGGACGGTGCCCACCGGGGTCCTCGCGCACAGCACGCGTCCTCAGCGGCCGAGGCCTGGCGGCTGCGGGTCCCGCGCGTCCCTCGCCGGCGTGCGCCGGGCTGGGCCCAGCCTCGCGCGCGCGCCGGGGCGGCCGGCGCAGACGCACTGCCTCCGCCTTCCGCCAATCTCGGCCCTCGCCGCGTTCCGTTCGTGCGTGCAGGAGTCGGGGCTGCGGAGAGGCAGCGGCGGGCCGGGGCCGTGGCGCGCCGAGCCGAGCCGAGCCGAGCCGAGCCGAGCCGAGCCGTGCGGATGGCGGACCCGCAGCTGTTCTGCGTGGCCGAGGAGCGCAGCGGCCACTGCGCCGTGGTGGACGGAAACTTCCTCTACGTGTGGGGGGGCTACGTGGTAAGGGGAAGAGGCGGGGCCGCGATGGGGACTCGGGCCGAGGGGACACCAGCGCCCGCCCACGCCCGCTCTCGCCCCCGTCCCCAGTGGGGCGCGTCCGGGCCTGGGCCAGCGCGCCCGGCGTCCCGCGCCCCCCTCCGCCGCCGCCCTCGCAGCCGCGCCAGGCTCCATTGTCGCCGTCCCGCCGAGGCCCCAGCTCCTAAAGCCTTCCAACCCATTTCACGGCACTCCTGCCCGCCGCCCCCACCCGGGGGTCCAGTAACCTCCCAGGTGTGCGAGACAGTCACCGCGCCATTGGTTATCCTTAGATACTGAGGTCAACCTAAAAGGACCCGAGGACAGGTCGCCGTGCTGTGTTACTTTGTATCTATTTCCTTATTGCCACGGCGTCACGCGAAATAAAACACCGAAATCACTGAAGCAGTCAAGTGTTTCTTAGCTATTTTTAGAGGCGTTACTTTCCTAATGGGTATAGACTCGTATATTAGCGACAATGTGCCAGAGAGTATTGTGGTTGAAAATTCCTATTACCAAGGAGGTTGAAATGTGTGTTTGTTTTGTTTCTATGATCATTGGATTAGAGCAATAACTGTAAAACTGGAAAACAATTCAGGAATATATGCCAACCCTCTTAGTTTACAGATTAAAAAACAAAACAAAAAGTCACCTGGAAGCGCTCCTGAAAATAGAACCTGCGTCTTCTGACTGTCTCAGTACTATGACATGACAGACCTGTAACGTGACTGATTCACACTGAAATAAAGTACATGCTATGAATGCCAAGAATTCTCAGAGCCAAGTGGGTTTTTGTTGTTTTGTGTGCTTATTTTTAATTTAGTGCAGTATAGTATCAGAAAGATTAGAACTAACCTTTGAGTGCCTACTATATCTGGCATGTGCTAGGGAGCGCCCTCATCTCCCTAATCTTAATTCATAATACAACCCCAAAGTACTAAATCTCCATTTTATAAATAAGAATGAGAGTAAACGACTTTACTGGCTATTTGATATCAAGGACAGCAGATTACAACCTATGTATGAGATATCCAAAGGCTGTATTTTATGATAAGCTAATTGTGCCTTAATGTTTAATATTTCCACCATTTGTTCTTTATAACAAAATAGTGTAACTGTAATGATGGTTGTACACACAAGAAATATTTTTAACTTTTTTTTAGCTCTGTCACTTGAAGATGTACAGATACCAGACTTCATCCGGGATATATATATATGTATATATATATATATATATATATATATTTTTTTTTTTATTTTATTTTATTTTTGAGTCAGGGTCTGGCTTTGTGTCCCAGCAGACCTTAAACTCTCCATCCTTCTGTTCCTGCCTCCCCAGTGTTGGGATCAGAGGAATGCACCACCATGCCTGGTCTTGATATTGTAAAAGTTAAGTGAAACAATTATCTTAAAATAATAATCTTGTAATATATCTGTATAGATTCACTTCAAACCCATAAGTGAAATACTTCATATCAGTGTAGAATTGTTTAGGGCCTATAAATGTCTGAGTGTTTTACATCTTGTTTTAATCTTGAAAACTGTGTAATTGATGAGGCTCCAGACTTCAGGTGGCAGTTAGTACTTGAAATACTATTGAGGGCAGAGGTACTGTAAGAACTACCCTGGAAAATACAACACAGATTTAGATTCCGTGTCTACTACTTTTTAAATTCCTGGAATCTTCAGCAGTTAAACAATGTCTAAGACATAAGTGGAAGGAAAAGGAGAGTAGGAAGAAAAAGGAAGACATGGCATATGAAGAGAAACAGTAGAACCCTTCCAACAACTGTTCTAGAAGTGCCTCCTGAGCAGAAGATAGCTAAAAGACCCTGGAATCTGGAAGTATTCCAGTTGTCAGTAATTAAGAATATCGACAAGACGATTCTACATGATATGTCCCAAGCAGAGTTTTCCTCATTCACACAATATATATTAAAATTGACAAACACATCCTAACTCACATCTGTCTAAAGTACTTGCTCTATTGTTGAATATGTTTTTTTAAAAAAACAATGTATTTGCACCATTGGTGGCTCACCCCTACTTGAGAGGATGAGATCCAGGGGATTGAGGTTCCAGGCCAGCCCAGGCAAATAGTTCTCCAGACCCCATCTCCACAATAACCAAAATGGACTGGAGGAATGGCTCAAGTGGTAGAGCAGCTGCTTTGTAAGCATGACACCCTGAGTTCAAACCCCAGTCCCACCAAGAAAAGTACACGAAAACATCTCTAGAGGTAAGAGCAATCAATGCCAAAGAAAAACAAATTCTAATTGGTGCCAAAATACTCTTTTGCTCTTAGATCTGTATCTTTTCCACATTACCGAAACTCATACAAACTGTAAGTGCTGCTCGTAGGAATGTGAACTATTGTGAGAGTTTGCCCCAGTTTTGGAGGAAACATCAGTATCTGTATGTTTGTAGATGGTATGCATTCCTCTTACCACCTTAATCACTCAAATGGGTTCTGTTTTTCAAACACAATAGATATTAATACATTTTGGTTTTTTGTGGTACTGGGAATTGAACTCAGGGCCTCACGCTTGGCTCTCCCACTTGAGCCATGCCTCCAATCTTGCTCTGAACTTTTCCTTATAGAAAATAACTACATAAATATAACATTTCTATTAGGAATTTGGATCAATTTAGAAAATGTTTGAAATGAAGGTAGGAGGGTTGCAGTGCCAAATTATTAAGGCATATCACAATTCTACAGCAATTAAACCAGTGGTCCTGATGCAATAGAGTTAGAACCATACAATGGGAAAGAAATGCACAAAAAGCCAAGCATAGAAGACTAGTTTGTTTTTAAACTAGCATTTCAAATCTGGAAAAACAGTCATGCAATGAATGGATGGCTGGAGGAAAATGATATTAAGAGCCTTAGAATTGACAAGTTAAATACAGAAAAATTAATATGGGAAAGGAATATATGACTATTATAAAACGTTGAGTTGGAGAAAGAAAATCTAAGTTGGGGAAATTATGAAGAAAAAATTGGAAGATCAAATTATAAAAAAATTAAAATTATAACTAGAGGCATGGCTCAAGTGGTAGAGCATATGCCTAGCAAGTACAAGACCCTGAGATCAAACCCTGTACCACCAAAAACTGTTTTTATCAAGCACTACAAAATGATATGACAAATGAGAAAATATTTGTGACATGTATGGTAGACATTCTTCTTTACAAAAGGAGCAGAAAGAAACCTAGCTAAAAATAGCAATGAGGGTTTTTTTTTTCTCCAGTTCACCAGGATTAAAAAGATTTGGGGAAAAGCTTGGGGAAATGAATTATTAATATTCTGTTAATAGGAATACACATTTATGTAACCTTTTTGAGGAGAAGTTTAGTAGTGTTTAAAAGCCTTAAATATATATCTCTTTAACCTAATAGTTCTACTTTATTCCTATGTGGTCACAAAGGCCATCTATGACATGTGGAAGACATTATTCTTTTTTAAATGCCCAGAATCCAAACCTCCTTTTTCTATTTGTGATACTCCCCCACTGAGTGGTTTGTCTCAGTATTTATTTTCTTGTCTATCTTCTACCAACCCCCATAGAATGTGAGTTCTGCAAAGATAGGTTGCTCCTTTCTGTGTTTAGAACTGTAAAGCTCATAGAAGGTACCCAATAAAAAGAACTTGCATGCAAATACCTTTCTAGCCTCATTTGCAGCTGCATTGTTGGCACGTGAGTTGGACCCTGTTGGTTAGATTAATTTTGATTCAAGAATAAAGATGTAAAAATCTGGGACCTGTAAAAATCTTTACCCTGGCAATGATTCTGTAGCTCAAGTTCCCTGGCATAAAGGCAGGCAATGCTTCAAGCTGCAGTGTGGTGCTCAGCAGAGGTAGCAGACCTGTTACGTGGTGTGTTTTCAGTCCTTGCTCTTTATGCAGGTAGGATGCTCGTTCTCCAGGCTCCTTGATGATTCTGTGAGCTACTTAATAATTCATTTCTTAAAGCTGCATTGCCTTAATTTTAAAACTTGAAGTATGTGCACAAAAGAATGAATAAAATAAGTATCATTTAGAGATAAACATGTTTACCTTCCAGGTTAAAAAAATAGACTGCCACCAGTCCTTTAATGTTTTTTTTTTTTTTTTTGGTGGTGGTACTGGGGTTTGACTTGGGGCTTTGCTTTTGAGCAGAGGTGCCCTACCACTTGAGCCATACCTCCAGTCTACCACCAGTACTGTAGAAAGTTTCCTACCTATCCTTCACCAATTACACTGTGCTCCCTCTACCCCCAATCCCACAGGTTATCACGATCTTGAGTTTCTTTTTAATAACTCTTTGCTTTATAATTTTATCACATGTGTACCTCTAAACAAGACATTGTTTGATTTTGGAATTATAGCATTTTTCCTTCATGACTTAATTCCTCTCATTTTTAGATTTACACATTGCTTAATCAGCTGCAGTACACTTGTGTGGAGTACCTGTTGTTACATGGTGTCCATTCTGATTCGTTAGTGCCTGTGCTAAATGCTTTGTTAAATACTTGGAAATCATCCTTAGATACATTCATTTGATATGTATCCTGTGTAAATTTTCTGTGACTTATTTATCCATTCTACTATTAGTGACTATTTGGTCCTTTTTTGCTATACCAAGGAATGGTATGTAATTTATTTGGAGATTTCAGACTATTGTCAGAATATTTGTATCAAATTACATCCTCACCCGTCTCTCTATATTCTTCACAACATTTGCTGCCATCTGCCCTTGAATTTTTTGCCAATGCAATGAAGGTGCATGATATTTCATTGTGGTTTTCATTTGTCATCTCCCAGATTACTGATGGGTGTCTTTTTATAACTTAGAGGATTATTCGTAATCCTCAAAGATATGTAATGTTGATACATATCTTTTGCTTATCTTCTATTGAGTTATTTGTATTTTTAACTGATTTGTATGAATTCTTTACATATATATTTGTATGAATTGGATATGTCTTCAGTTTGGAGTTTGTCT